TGAGCATTAACAACACTAAATCCGATTGGGGTAGCGTCACTAGTGGAGTACCCCAAGGCTCAGTACTTGGACCATTACTATTTATTTTATACATATGCGACATAAATGTAGGGGTAGACAGCAAAATAAGTAAATTTGCTAACGACACTTAAATAAGGCGTGTAATTAAATCTGACAAGGACTCCGCAAAACTACAGGAAAATCTAAAAAAAAAAAATCGCATGTCTTGAAAATGGCAGATTAAATTTAATGTGGGCAAATGTAAAGTAATTAGTTTAGGAAATGTAAACAGAGAAACCAGATACCAGATGAACTTGAGAAATCCGACTGAGAAAGATTTAGGAGTAATGATAAGTAGGAATCTTGAGCCAAGACAACAATGTGTATTTGCTCGAAACAAGGCTAACAAAGTACTTGGGTTCAAACAAAGGAGTCTTAGTTACAAGACTAGCGAGGATATTCTAAAACTATATCTACGCTTGTGAGACCTCACTTGGATTACGCGGTTCAGTTCTGGACACCGTACTACAGAATGGATATTGAATCCCTAGAAAGAATTCAAAGGAGATTGGCAAGACTAATCCCGGGCATTAGGAACCTTGAGTACAGAGACAGGTTAAAGCATCTTAAATTGCACTACCTCGAGAGACGTAGAGTGAGGGGCGATATGGTCGAGGTGTATAAATGGAAGTCAGGGTAAAACAAAGGTGATATAACAATGGTACTCAAACTATCCAACCAGTAGCGAACTCGTAGGAATAGTTTTAAATTAGACAAATTTAGATTTGGGCGCGAGATAGGTAAACACTGGTTTGGAAATAGAGTAGTGGACGAGTGGAACAAGTTACCAAACATCATCATTAATTCGAATACGCTGGATAGCTTCAAACATAGGTTGGATGGATATATGAGCGATAGGGGCTGGGTATAAACGGGACTGCTTAGTATGGGCCGATAGACCCTCTGCAGTTTCCTCCATTCTTATGTTCTTATGCATAGTGAGGGAGGCGTGAAGGAGTGGTGAGGGAGGCGTGAAGTAGAGGTGAGGGAGTGTTGAAGGAGGAGGTTAAGGGGTAAGGGGAGGTTGAGGGAGTGGTGAGAGAGGAATGGGGGAGCAATGAGGGGGGTGAGGAAAGGGCGGGGGAGTGAGGTAAGGGATAAAGAGTGAAGGAGGAATTAGGGAGTGATGAGGGAAGGATAAAGGATGGAGGGGCGATGTAGCTGTCGAGGGAGAAGTGTGAGGGAGTTAAGAGTGTATAGTATGGCTCTGTATAGGCGTGTATATACTGTATACTCAGAAACAAGCTGGGGTCGAACTGGGCTCTTCTATAGGAGGCCTGAGTGTTACTTACCACTTGTCCATCCCCAGGTGACAGTGTTCAATGACTAACCCGAAACATCAACACCACTTATGACTTTCTGTAACTGATACATACATACATACATACATACATACATACAACATACATACATACATACATACATACATACATACATACATACATACATACATACATACATACAATATAAAATAAAGATCTTCAAATCATGTCTTCATTTCCATCATAATTATAGCACTATCTACACATTACGTCCTGGTGATGGGTTTTCGTGGGGTCATGGTGGTGGTGTGGTGGAGGCCCAGGTTTAAGTACACAGGTTCGAGTCCGTGAAGGTGTGTAAGGCATAGAGGAGTTTCCCCTGACCTGTGGGTTATAAAGAAAACGGTAATTAATAATAAAGAACATTCACAACTTCATTAAAAGATAATTAGGTCATTAGAAACTGAAGGAAATTTTGTATTTAAGTATTGAGAGGGAAATAATTTTTTTTACTGTTATTTGGAATAGAATAAATTTATTAGTTTATTGATAATTGGGTTTTATTTTTTTTTTCAGTTTGTTTTAGAAAGTCACTTCGGGGGAGTTTCTTGTTTACAATGTGACGTCATAATCTGTATTTGCCGAGTGACGTCACAATTTGTGGTTACATACACGTCCACTGTCCGTAATATACCATCCACTGCCTGTAATGTACCGACCACTGCCTGTAATGTACCGTCCACTGCCTGTAATGTACCGTCCACTGCCTGTAATGTACCGTCCACTGCCTGTAATGTACCGTCCACCGCCCGCCATGCTCGTCCACTGCTGTAATATACCATCCACTGCCTGTAATGTACCGTCCACTGCCTGTCATGTACATCCTGCCCATAATATACAATCCACTGCCTGTAATAGCATACCATCCCTGCCTGTAATGTACCGTCCACTGCTGTAATGTACCGTCCACTGCCTGTAATGTACCGTCCACTGCCTGTAATGTACCGTCCACTGCCCATAATATACCATCCACTGCCTGTAATGTACCGTCCACTGCCTGTAATGTACCGTCCACTGCCCATAATATACCATCCTGCCTGTAATGTACCGTCCACTGCCTGTAATGTACCGTCCACTGTCCGTAAAAGTACCGTCCATTGCCCACCAATACCGTCCACTGCCTGTAATATACCATCCACTGCCTGTAATGTACCGTCCACTGCCTGTAATGTACCGTCCTGTAATGTACCGTCCACTGTCCGTAAGTACCGTCCATTGCCCATAATATACCGTCCTGCCTGTATGCATGCCCATCCACTGCCTGTAATGTACCGTCCACTGCCTGTAATGTACCGTCCACCTTGTAATATACCGTCCACTGCCTGTAATGTACCGTCCCTGCCTGTAATGTACCGTCCTGCCTGTAATGTACCGTCCACTGCCTGTAATGTACGTCCACTGTCCGTAATGTACCGTCCATTGCCCATAATATACCGTCCACTGCCTGAAATATACCGTCCACTGTCCAGCAAAAGTACCGTCCATTGCCCTGCCAAATCCACTGCCTGTAATATTATACCATCCACTGCCTGTAATGTACAATCCACTGCCTGTAATGTACCGTCCACTGCCTGTAATGTACCGTCCACTGCCTGTAATGTACCGTCCACTGCCTGTAATGTACCGTCCACTGTCCATAAAGTGATACCTGCCCATAATATACCGTCCCTGCCCATAATATACCGTCCACTGCCTGTAATATACCGTCCACTGCCTGTAATGTACCGTCCACTGCCTGTAATGTACCGTCCACTGCCTGTAATGTACCGTCACTGCCTGTAATGTACCGTCCACTGCCTGTGTCTTACCGTCCACTGCCTGTAATGTACCGTCCACTGTCCGTAATGTACCGTCCATTGCCCATAATATACCGTCACTACCTGTAATAAATCCACTGTCCCGTAAAAGTACCAAATCCATTGCCCATAATATACCGTCCACTGCCTGTAATATACCATCCACTGCCTGTAATGTACCGTCCACTGCCTGTAATGCCCGTCCACCTGTGTGTACCGTCCCCTCTGCCTGTGTGTGGAAATCCACTGCCTGTAATGTAAATCCACTGTCCGTAAAGTACCGTCCACTGCCCGCAATATACCGTCCACTGCCTGTAATATACCATCCTACACTGCCTGTATTCATCTCAATCCACTGTCCGTAAAGTGCAAATCCACTGCCCATAATATACCGTCCACTGCCTGTAATATACATACTGCCTATAATGTACTAATCCACTGCCTGTAATGTATAAATCCCACTTACCTGTAATATACAAATCCTACCTATCTTAAATCCACTGCCTGTAATATACCATACTGCCTATAATGTACCATCCCTGCCCATAAAAGTACGTCCCTGCCCTGTCTCCCCATACCTGTAATGTATCCTGCCTATAATGCATCGTCCTGCCTGTAATGTACCGTCCACCTGTAATACATCGTCCACTTGCCTGTAATGTACCGTCCACTGCCTGTAATGTACCGTCCACTGCCTGTAATGTACCGTCCACTGCCTGTAATGTACCGTCCACTGCCTGTAATGTACCGTCCACTGCCTGTAATGCATCGTCCACTGCCTGTAATGTACCGTCCACTGCCTCTAATGTATCGTCCACTGCCTGTAATGCATCGTCCACTGCCTGTAATGTACCGTCCACCACCTGTAATGTACCGTCCACTGCCTGTAATGTACCGTCCACTGCCTGTAATGTACCGTCCACTGCCTGTAATGTACCGTCCACTGCCTGTAATGTACCGTTCACTGTCCGTATTATACCGTCCACTGCCCGTAATACACCATCCACTGCCCGTAATACACCGTCCACTGTCCGTAACACACCATCCACTGTCCGTAATGCACCGTCCACTGTCCGTAATGCACCGTCCACTGCCCGTAACACACCGTCCACTGTCCGTAATGCACCGTCCACTGCCCGTAACACACCATCCACTGTCCGTAATGCACCGTCCCCAGCCCGTACTGTACCATCCAATCCGTTGTCCGTAAGTTACCTCCCATTGCTCACATCGAGATATTCTTTGTTGTGTGGAGGTGTCTACCGTGTTTGTCTCTCCGTCTCTAATCTTGACTTTGTTGGTCAGGTTAGGTTGGGTTAGGTTAGGCTAGGGTAGGTTAGGTTGGGTTAGGGTTGGTTAGGTTACTCAGATTAATTAGTGTTAGCTTAGATTAAGTTAGTTTTTAATTTGTCAGGTTAGGTTAGAGTAGGTTAAAGTACTCAGATTAATTTGTGTTAGCTTAGGTTAAGTTAGTTTTGAATATATCAGGTTAGGATGTGTTAAGTTAGGTTAGAGACGTTAAGCTACACGTAGGTTAGATTAAGTTAGGTTAGGTTAATCTAAATTGTGTTAGGGTTAGCTGTTGTAATGTACAGGGCCTATACTTTGGTTAATAATGGCTCAAATGTGTTGTCTTGTGCAGGTAACCGCTATAGATGAGGTTCATGTTAAACAGAAGTTGTTATAGGAAAACTTTTGAGGGAATTGATATATACATAAGGTTTTGTTTACTCTATTAAGTTACCAGCATATAGGAATTAATTACGGCTTCCAGCACCATAAGCGGTCTCCAGAATTATACAGTGGCTTCTACCATACAGTGATGTCTACCATACAGCGGCCTCCACCAAACAGGGGCCTCCACCAAACAGCGGCCTCCACCAAACAGGGGTCTCCACCAAACAGGGGCCTCCACCAAACAGCGGCCTCCGCCAAGCAGCGGCCTCCGCCAAGCAGCGGCCTCCGCCAAGCAGCGGCCTCCGCCAAACAGCGGCCTCCGCCAAACAGCGGCCTCCGCCAAACAGCGGCCTCCGCCAAACAGCGGCCTCCACCAAGCAGCGGCCTCGGCCAAACAGGGGCCTCCACCAAGCAGCGGCCTCGGCCAAACAGGGGCCTCCGCCAAACAGCGGCCTCCACCAAACAGCGGCCTCCACCAAACAGCGGCCTCCCACCAAACAGCAGCCTCCACCAAACAGCGGCCTCCGCCATACAGCAGCCTCCGCCAAACAGCGGCCTCCACCATACAGCGGCCTCCGCCAAACAGCAGCCTGCAGCACCATATAGTGAAGTCTCAGCACCACCCACAGCGGCCTCCCACCAAACAGCGGCCTCCACCAAACAGCGGCCTCCACTATACAGCCTCCGCCAAACAGCGGCCTCCGCCAAACAGCAGCCTCCCACCAAACAGCGGCCTCCGCCAAACAGCGGCCTCCCACCATACAGCGGCCTCCACTATACAGCGGCATACCATATAGCGGCCTCCACCAGACAGCGACCTCCAGGACCGTACAGCGATCTCTTAACACCGTGCAGTGGCCAGTAGCACCATACAGCGGCCTCCTGCACCAGGCAGTGACCTGTGCGGTGCTACAGGTCACTGGCCTGTTGCACTATACAGCGATCTCCAACACCGTCCAGTGGCCTGCAGCACCATACAGCGGCCTGCAGCACCGTAGAGCGGGCTGCAGCACCACAGCGGCCTGCAGCACCATACAGCCACCTGTCACTGTGCATCGACCTCGCGCACCATAATGAATCGGGTTTGTTGATTGGATGTTGAAACCCGGAGAATCGGGGGCCGCTGATTGGCTGTTAAACCCTGACCAATGAATGACCAACTAACTCTTCTCTCTGTATGTACCTTGGACCCGCGCCGACGCAAACAGGCTCATGATTGGCTAATTCCCCGTGTGAAGTGAGCCAATGACGCCCCAGCTCTCCAAAGTGGATTAAATTCGTGTTTGACCTACATTAACCCCGCTTAAACCCCACAGGATTAACCCCTTAGGATTTTAGGATATTGATGTTGAGGATAAAGGCTATTATTCCGGGCAGCGGACTCGAGGACTGGGGTTCGAGGAGGTGGTGTTGGAGGGTGATGTTACCTGTCGTGTTTTCATTGTTATCCCTCGAGGAGAAAAGGTCATTGGAGTTTGTTTGGGTTTCAATTCTTTGATTTTTGTTTTGGTTGAAGATCTTGTCAAATATATTCCCGTTAAATATACTCTGCTGACCGTGACTTACAACAGATCACAACCACTATCTTCTGACCGTGACTTACAACAGATCACAACCACTATCTACTGACTAAGACTTACAACAGATCACAACCACTATCTACTGACTAAGACTTACAACAGTTCACAACCACTATCTACTGACTAAGACTTACAACAGATCACAACCGCTATCTACTGACTAAGACTTACAACAGATCACAACCACTATCTACTGACCGTAACTTACAACAGATCACAACCACTATCTACTGACCGTAACTTACAACAGATCACAACCACTATCTACTGACCGTAACTTACAACAGATCACAACCACTATCTACTGACCGTAACTTACAACAGATCACAACCACTATCTACTGACCGTAACTTACAACAGATCACAACCACTATCTGCGGCCATGGAAACACAGCAGATCGCAACCACTATCTTCTGACCGTGACTTACAACAGATCACAACCACTATCTTCTGGCCGTGACTTACAACAGATCACAACCACTATCTGCTGACTAAGACCTACAACAGATCACAACCACTATCTACTGACCGTAACTTACAACAGATCACAACCACTATCTACTGACCGTAACTTACAACAGATCACAACCACTATCTACTGACCGTAACTTACAACAGATCACAACCACTATCTACTGACCGTAACTTACAACAGATCACAACCACTATCTACTGACCGTAACTTACAACAGATCACAACCACTATCTACTAACCGTGACTTACAACAGATCACAACCACTATCTACTGACCGTAACTTACAACAGATCACAACCACTATCTACTGACCGTGACTTACAACAGTTCACAACCACTATCTACTGACCGTAACTTACAACAGATCACAACCACTATCTACTAACCGTGACTTACAACAGATCACAACCACTATCTACTGACCGTGACTTACAACAGTTCACAACCATCGTCACCACACCTTCCTACAACCTAAAATAACATTGACCATACCATAATCGTAAATGATGATTGTTTTTGTGTGTGTCCAAGGTCTTCTGTCTTATATCTACTGCTCGCTCCCATGTCGTGCACATACATCCAGCCGTCTCGCATCTACTCTAGACCAAAAAATCAATGCGCAGTCAACATCAGGGCTCGACCGACAGAACCTGTAACACAAGCTCAAATCTATACACCAGCAAAACACATCCTCATCATCATAATAACAATAAATAATAAGCAACAACATCAACAGCATCATCAACAACAGCAGCATCCAACAGCATCAACATCATCAACAAAAATAACAGCAAGCAACAACAAATCAACAGCAACAACAAATTACAGCATCACCAAACAGCAGCCAACAACATTAACATCACCATCAACATCATCAACAACAACAATAACATAACAACATCACCAACAACATCATCAACATCACCATCAACATCACCATCAACAACAATAACATCATCGACAACATCCATAAGTTGGGAAAATAAACGAGTGATGTTGTTTGGAAAGGTTTCAGCGTGTGGCAGCGGGAGTGTTTCACAGACTCTACCTTGTCTGATGAGGATTAATACCTGTGTTTGTTGCGTCCCCTGAGGTGACCCGTGTCCACCTCATCTGCCCACACCTGGCCACATTCTTGATGGCTCCCCGCCGTCACCTATGTCCTGCCATGCTGCTTGTATCACAACCTGCCTACCTACCTACCTGCCTGCACCTACCTGCCTACCTGCCTACCTACCTACCTCCTCACAACGCACCTCTGACCTACCTGCCTCCCACAACCTACCTGCCTCACAACCTACCTGCCTCACAGCCTCACTGCCTCACAACCTACCTGCCTCACAGCCTACCTGCCATCACCAACCTACCTGCCATCACCAACCTACCTGCCATCGCAACCTACCTGCCTCTAACCTACCTGCCTCAGACCTACCTGCCTCATAAACCTACCTGCCTCACAACCCTACTTGCCTCCAGCCTACCTGCCTCACAACCTACCTGCCTCACAACCTACCTGCCTCGCAACCTACCTGCCTCATAACCACCTGCCTCAACCTACCTGCCTCACAACCTACCTGCCTCACCCAACCTACTGCCTCACAACCTACCTGCCTCACAACCTACCTGCCTCACAACCTACCTGCCTCAAACCTACCTGCCTCACAACCTACCTGCCTCACAGCCTACCTGCCTCACAACCTACCTGCCTCTACAACCTACCTGCCTCACAACCTATCTGCCTCACAATCTACCTGCCTCACAACCTGCCTCACAACCTACCTGCCTCACCCAACCTACCTGCCTCATAACCTACCTGCCCTCACAACCTACCTGCCTCACAACCTACCTGCCTCACAACCACCTGCCTCACAACCTACCTGCCTCACAACCTACCTGCCTCACAACCTACGCCTCACCACCCAACCTACCTGCCTCACAACCTACCTGCCTCACCCACCTGCCTCACAAGCCTACCTGCCTCACAACCTACCTAAATACCTGCTACAACCTACTTGCTTACCAATATGCCTATTTAACTAACTAACCTGCCTCAACCTACCTAACTAACTAACCTGCCTCACAACCTACCTAACAAACTAACCTGCCTCACAACCTAACTAACTAACTAACCTGCCTCACAACCTACCTCACAACTAACCTGCCTCCTGATCCTACCTAACTAACTAACCTGCCTCACAGCCTACCTACCTACCTACTTGCCTGTTAACCTACAGCCACTTGCCTCACAACCTACCTACCTACTTGCCTGTTAACCTGCCCAGCCACTTGCCTCACAACCTACCACCTACCTACCTACCTGCTTCCCATCCTACCTACCTGCACCTCACCTACAGTACTTGCTACCACCACCTGCCTACCTGCCTACCTGCCTGCCTACCTGCCTGCCTACCTGCCTAACTAACTAATCTAACCTGCCTCACAACCTACCTACCTACTTGCCTGTCAATCTCCCCATCTGCCTCACAACTTATCTAACTGCTAACTGCCCAACCTACCTACCTGCTGCCCAACCTACCTACCTGCTGCCCAACCTGCCTGCTGCCCCAGCCTACCTACCGCCTTAGCAGCCTACCTACCTTGGCAACCTGCCTACCTGCTGCCCAACCTGCCTGCCTGCTGCAACCTATCTGTATTAACTTTCTTGCTTGCTTACCAACCAGCCTACCCCAACCTAGCTGCCGCAGGTGTGTGTGTGTGTGGGGGAGGAGACCTATTAAAACGTTTACCTATTGTGCTGGAGAAATGAGGGAGAAGGAGGGAGATTTTGTTGGAGAAACTGGGAGACTTGTAGCTTCTCAGTAGGCCAGATAACGACACCATTATATTTACTTTCATGAGATAGACTAAAAGTTCCTCACTTGACAAAACAAAAACAAAACAAAAGACTAACAAAAAAACTCGGTTATTTAAATTGTTTGTTTAGAAATAATACTCAGTCACTTTTAACAATGGGTTACTAAGGCTTTTTTTTTTACTTATTATTTGCTGATGAAGGAACTAAGTATATAAGCTTTATTATTATTATTTTATTTGGAACTCGAACTATTATTAATCAGTTACGAACGCTCTTGAACTTTTATCAGGGGTTAAAATTACTTAATACTGTACTACCACACACTACCACACACACCTACCATACACTACCACACACACACACACACACACGCCTGCAAACACTACCACACACACACACACACACACCCACCATACACTACCACACACACACACACACCTACCATACACTACCACACACCACACACACCTACCATACACTACCACACACACACACACACACACACACACCTACCATACACCACCACACACACACACACACCTACCAACACTACCACACACACACCTACCATACACTACCACACACACACACACCTCATACACTACCACACACACACCTACCATACCTACCACACACACACACACACTACCATACACTCACACACACACACACACACACACACCTACCATACATACCACACACACACACCTACCATACTCTACACACACACACCTACCATACACTACCACACACACACACCCCTACCATACACTACCACACACACACACACACACACCTACCATACACTACCACACACACACACACACACACCTACCATGCCTACCACACACACACACACACACACACATACACTACCACACACACACACACACACACACCTACCATACACTACCACACACACACACACACACCTACCATACACTACCACACACACCTACCATACACCACACACACACACACACACACCTACC